GTGTTTAGGGTTTAGGGTTTAGGGTGTTTAGGGTTTAGGGTTTAGGGTGTTTTGGGTTAGGGTTTAGGGTGTTTAGGGTTTAGGGTTTAGGGTGTTTAGGGTTTAGGGTTTAGGGTGTTTAGGGCTTTTAGGGTTTAGGGTTTAGGGCTTTGGGTTTAGGGTTTAGGGTTTTTAGGGTTTAGGGCTTATAGGGTTTTGGGATTGGGGTTCCAGGGTTTTACCGTTTAGGGTTTTTAGGGTTTCGGGTTTAGGGTCAATCTAAAGGACTAGTATTGATCTTAATTTGATCTAGAGGGCTTTTTTCCCTCTTCTCCAACAACCCGGCACAAAAAGTTCAAATTCCAATCAAAGATCAATCGTCTAAGGCCAAAAGGTTTGACGTTCTCCCATTGCCTATCTAAGTTTTGTTTCGTCAATCTAGTGAATCAAACAGGTTCTTGTTGAGTCTAGAGTGTTTGCCTTCGTCCAAAATCGGGTTCATAAGGCATGGGGTTTAGCCTACCGGGCGTGGGACTTCTTAACCGATTATAAGGCTTGTGTTGTTTTTTCGAGGGAGGCTCTTGTAGGATCTCAGGATACTGTGTATAGAGTTAAAAGGGGTTCAAGGGTTTGGGATTCGCAGGTTCGGAGCTTGCCTTCGGGACTACCTCCCTAAACCCTAAACCGTAAACCTTAAACCCTAAACTCTATGAGCCCTTTTCCAAACTAAGCAGCGACGTCATAACGTAAGACCGCCACGCACCGGAGACTGTACCATGAACTCGAAGCATCTCCAAACCCTGTACTGTAACATGGGCCTTCAAAATTAGAATAAGATTTAGGCCCTAAACCCTAAACCCTAAACCCTTTAGGGTTTAGGGCTCTGCCGGTAAATTATATTTGGACTGGAAGGAGCGGTGCTACTTATTCATTTTCAGATCCGCTGAAATGCCAGAAAGGCCCTCCCAAAGGCCTTCTAAGACAGAGGCCCAGCGACACTGAAACGAGCTTTACAAAAGATGGTGTCTTCTCCAATTAATATAGGGCCTGAATAATTTCAATAGGGTTTGGGGGTATAATAAACTATGACAATAGTAAGGAACCACGAAAACCCTGTTCTTGTTGTTAAGGTCCCTACATTACACGGGTTTTCAAGGTTTAGGGCTGGAGATGGGATCTCACTCTTCAGGGTCAACGTTGAAGGCAGCATCTTCCAACCATTCCCGGGTAATTGTATTAAAAGGTGCCTTACTAATCAGAATGAATAGGGTTCTGTGGTCCATTATCCTATATTATACTACACTCATAATAAGGACCCCCCACCCAAAATAGCATAGGTAGATTTTTTTTAGGCCCCTACAGTAACCCTCAACATCGCTTGGGCTTTCGGAGCCTTCCTGGCTGAATTGGGGGCAAGAGGGCTACAGGCCGTAATTCTCAAAGCAATGGCAGGTGCTCCAGACATTCTCCCTACAGTCTCCATTGTAGTTCCTTTTTTTTGGTATAGCCAAACAGTATAATAGGGATTTTGTAATCTAGTTCCTTTTTTTGGTTTAACCCAATAATATACATATAATAAGGATTTTATAAGGTATCCCCGAAAAGGAACTAAAATGGAGACTATAGGTCTGGGCTCTTGGGGGCTCAAAGGCTCTTGGAGCATCTAGGAAGCCCAAGCCATGGGAGTTAGGATTAGGGGGACCTCCGGGGAAATAGACCCTCTCAATAAGGTCCCCTTCAAGAGAGCCATAAGTAGGGTGGAGAAGGGTAGGGTCTCCCTAATCTACCGAGACGATAAACCCTCAACCTGCCTCCTCCTCTGACTGGAAATGCACGCCCTTGCCGCCTGTTGGGTCGAAAAGCAAACGTGCCAAACTTCGGAACCCCTTTTGCAGGGCACTGCGATGTTGGACGCGCTTTGCGGGCGTATTGCGCTCTTGGAGTTTGTGTAGCTGAATCTGAATTCTGAGGCATGCACCGCACAATACCTTACAGGCCCTGGGGCGGAGAGAAACAAGTTCGGGCCTCGGCTTGGGAGACACAATTCTCAGCCATGCAGCACCACCGCAAGCTTCGAAACCGATGCCCCTTAACCGACCCTCTGTTTTGCGAACCGCAATAGCACCGGCTTGTCTCAACTTATGCCGGTCCCAGCCTCCCAGTAGCTGCCGAGAAGGGCACACGAGCTGCCCCGTGACGATGACGTAGGGGGTCGGGATGAATTGGTTGCTGCTGTTGGCCTCATGCAAGCTTGATAGCATTTAGTCTATATACCTATAGTCTCCATTGTAGTAGCCCAGCCCAAAGCACTGGACCTGCTATGCACAACAAATTTGGCGGCCTCATCCTTGTCGTAAAAATACTTAAGCTATCGAAAGAGGCGGCCGAGACTTCGATCCAAGGTGTCACAACAAGCAGACATCCACATCAATCGCTGCAGCTGGAGTGTAGGAGTTAGGCAAAGCCAAGACGGCGAAGCCAAATATGACTGGTAACGAACCCTAAACCCTAAACCGTTAACGAACTGAAAGAGCCCCTGCATTCGTGTCTTCGCCGGAACTACAAGCCCACACACCATAACCTCACTGGGATTTACGCCTCATCCTGGAAATTTCGTGTCGAATTCCTGGCACAAAACACACAAGATCACACGATCTCGTCTTGCAACTCTTCGGAAAGCCCAAACTCTTCGGACCTCGGCTTCATCAAACAGCCCTGGCCCGCCGCCCCCAGATCACACATCTTGCCGAACGCCCAGCAAACGCCCTGTACAAAACACACACACACACACACCCGCACACACACACACACACACACACCACACACAAGAACACACACACACACACATATCCGGAATCTGTCCGCGTCCCGGCCCCCCAAACCCCGAAAGCAAAGTCATTATCCCTAAGCCTCTGGAACCCCGAAACCTCCGAGACAAACTCTATGGCCGGGCCGCGGGAAGATGCTCGTACATTTGAGGATCCACGGGCAGCTCAGGTCCCCAGGCATCGGGTGCGCCTCGGACAGGCTTGGCTTACAGACTCAAGGGAAATGGGGCTTCTTCATATTACAAGGGTGCCATATTTCATGTCTGTGGGGTCTTGTCAAGCAAAACCCCTCTCTTCGGCATCTTTTCTGTCGGCTACGAGGGGAGCCGATGCTTGGTAAGGACTGAAGTGTCGTGTAAGCTTTACAAGTTTTGTTGTGGGGTTCCTTGCGGGCTTTTTCCCGCGATTGGGCGCGCTAATTGCCAAACAGATCCAGGTGATACCCCCTAGACCTATCCGACTTGCTGTTGTTGGGGTGGGTTGCGACACCGGCAATCGGCAATCACGTTGACACACCTAAGCCTGCAAAAACCCTAAACCCTAGACCCTTATAAGCCCTAAACCGAACCTTGGTTTAACCAATAATATAACAAGGATGTTATAAGGTATCCCCAAAAAGGAACTAAAACGGAGACTGTAGGAAAACCCTAACCCAACAAAAACTGGACCAAACCGTTGCGCCTCGTTCAGGGTAAACTTGGCTCACAGAAAGCTACTTTCCCAAGGGCCCTCTTTATTCATTTGTAGAAGGGTCCCGGGTGGGGTGCTTAGTATCCATATCCCGCTACTATTTGCGCCCCGTCTTTTCTGAGGTGATCCACGAAAATAGCAGAATGCTTTTGTAAGGTTTGGAGCTTAAGCTTAGGCTTTATGAGGTTTATTGTGCTGCTCGCGGCTTGTCCAGGATTTGGATTTGACAACCAAACACTTCCTACCGAACCCGACCGAACTGAAACACCAACCCAGGTTACCAGGCAATGACCGCGAAACATATGGGTAGCCCTCTAAAATTGGGCCCCTTCTTAGATCCCAAGTATAATTAGTATACGGCAAAAAGGACCCCCAAAGGACCCTAGTTTAGAAAGCTACCCATATCTGGCTTGCTGTTGTTGGGGTGTCGCTGGTTGGAAAACCTAAGCGCGCAAAGCCGGACGAAGCACGAACCCATCTGAACTCTGAACCACTCCTGGCTTGATATTTGGAGGCTCATGGGTAGTTATAAGTGGGGCTGTAAGTAGGGTAACTACACTTATAATGTAACCTTATAACTTATAACCCATACTAGGGGACTTATAACCCCGCTTATAACTACCCCTAAAACCTAAAACCTAAACCCTATAGAACCCTTCAAAGGAACCTTATAACCCCACTTATAATTCCTGTGAACCTCCAATCTAAGGACTTTAGGAGGGACCCCTAATAGGGACCCTTAATCCCATTTCCTTAAATAACCATTGTATAGTCCTTATATACCCCTTATATGGCCAGGTAGTCCCCATATTAACCCCAAGAACCTACAAGGGTCCCCTAAACCCTAAACCCTAAACCCTAAACCCGCCTTAGATCCAAGTGGAGCCCGGGAGCAGTCGCAGGGATGGAGCCAATAGTCGGCCGGCTGAGGGGTCCCCGGGTCATCCAGCACCAGGTACGGCTGTCCCTCTTCGTCCTCTTCCTTTTAGGGGTTTAGGGTTTAGGATTTAGGGTTTAGGGTTTAGGGTTTAGGGTTTAGGGGCCTGTTGCAAAGAGAGCTTCTAAAACGACTTCCATCACCGGAGTTACTGGAGGGGTATGTAAAGTAGGTATGTACAATATCGGGGCCTTAATAAGTAGAATAGGGTTTTGGGGTCACTTATAGTATAGCTATAATAAGAAGGAGCCCCCCAAATAGTATTGGCAACTATCAAGGAATTATTAAGGCCCCTATGTCATTTTTGGATATCGACCTGGGGCACTTCCCAGACCCCCGGGAGGATCTAGAAAGTAGAACCCCTAATTTGTGACCCTGACTACTAAAGGGTGCTTTATAGAACCCCACTTAAGGGATCTACTTTTTGGATCCTTTCATGGGGTCTGGGTTCTCGATGTGTAGGATTTCTGTCAGGTTGGGAACCCTAAACCCTAAACCCTAAACCCTAAACTTGGGTCCCGAGGTTCCAGGTTTCGCCCTGAAGAACTGCACATCATTAACTCAGGCATGATGCAGGGGACTTCATAATTAGAATCCCAAAGGCTCTATGTACCTTTATAGTAGATACTTAGGCCTTAAAGGGGTCTCTATATAGGTACTTTGAGGCTTAAGTATCTACTATATGGGTACATGGAGGCTTAGGGAATAGGGTTTGGGGGGTATCTTATACTATAATAACAAGGAACCACCCAAAAGAGTATCGGTACTTATTTAGATCCCTATGTTACCCAGTCGGCGCGGCTTTTCAGAGGACGGACGTTAACCTTGATCGAAATCTCAAGCCTGATTCCATTCCGACCCCATGTAAAAGAAAGTGGAGATAACGCCGCCACACTACAGGCACCCCTAAACCCTAAACCCTAAACCCTGAACCCAAACGCCTGATCTTCGATCCAGGCCAACTCCTTCGACGAGCACCTGGTTGTAAGAGCAGTGATTTTCGCATTTTTGCCTATCGGGTGCATTGCTGGAGGCAACGGAGTTCGAAAGATTTGCTGCGGCGCTGTCTCCGCACTTCTCTACATGTCCGAAACCTTGCCCACTTTCTCACAAGGACCACGAATATCCCGCGGAATGGCATCGCTGAAAGCAAACACCATGATAGAATGAGGGTTTAGGGTTTAGGGGTTTAGGGCTTAGGGTTCAGGGATGCTGGCAATCATCAAGTCCGGTTTCCAAACAATGGGCTCGATGTTTAGGGAAACCTAAACTTCAGATTTAGGTGTCCATGGGGCTCAAATACAGGGGCCTTAATAATTAGAATAGGGTTTTGGGGCCCATTATACTATGAGTACAATAAGGAACCCCAAAATAGTATAGGTAATTAGTTAAGCCCCTACATTAGGGTGTGAGTTCTCGCAACTCTGACATCCAGGCTGGACAGTTTTGGTCCGATTCCGAGAAAGTAGCAAGGTACTGGCCGCTGTGACACAGACACACCTACAAGGAAGGTTTAGGGCTTAGGGTTTAGTTGCACTACCGAGTTGCTTCACAGGTTTCGGAAATCGATCCAGCATCGAGGCCAGCTAATTCACGTTGTACTCCAGCAGTCACCGCAACAAGCATCAGGTGACAAGCAGAAACGACTAAGCTTAGATAGTCACTCTGGGTGTTGTAGGCACAAAACGGGAAAGCCAACAACCGATTAGACATGACCAAAATAACATCCCTGTCACATTCAAACCCGAGATTCACACTATCCAGCCCTCAAAACATAGGGAGGACGACAAAAACAGCTAAAGCAGCAACACTTCCCCAAACCTCCAGACAAGCTGCCTGCGCTCGAAAAACGTTATATGCAAGTGCCAAAGATAAACTTCCCACCGACCACCTACCATTTTGAAGCTGCCGCTGGCGACTGAGCTTGGCACGACCGAAGGGCATAAACCTAAACCCTAAACCCTAAACCCTGAACCCTAAAACCCTAAACTCTAAACCCTAACAGGGTTTAGGGGTGCAGGTTTAGGTGCCGACCTGTGGCCCAAAAGACCTAGCTTTTTAAGGAACTATAC